AAACTACGGCGATCTTATGTAGAAGCCTTCAATTCTGCGGCCTTTCTTTTCACATTTTCTATGCAGTGGCTTTACGAAATCGTCACGAGGTCAGTTTCTTTTCTTTCCAATTTTATCATATCTTTCGCAGCTGTTCAATATACGAATAAGTGGACATTTTCCGTATTGAAGCCTTCAAAAATTGATCTCAACATTTCAATCCGTTAATTGAAAACATCAAAGAACTAGAGATGATCTTGATGTACCATAGGTTAATTGAATGATTAAAAATCTCAACAATTTCGCAAGCGATTCCCATATCTTCATCTCTTTTGGCGAAGTTCTCCAATCCTCTCGTCCATCCTGCTTAAATCTTACTGAATTCTATAGAATTCTCAGACAGTGGAACCGGCTCCGACATTCTATCTACTGGAGTGTCCTGAAATATCAGAATTGATTTCGGTAACTTGACCCACCTCTTGAAATTCCCGGCGATTTCTATATGAGCCCGCCTCTTTTAAAGTTAAACTATTCAGACCGATTTAACATTGAGTGGTTTCTTTCGCATCTACGGCATTCTCAAGTCTTTTCCACTCTTCTGTCCATCAAACTTACTTCAATATGTCTATCCGTTTAGTCAAGTTTCCAAGCATTATAGTGGACACTGATTGGTCCATTAATTGGAATTCTCGAAGAAAGAAAGAAAGAGAGAGAGAGAGAGAGAGAGAGAGAGAGAGAGAGAGAGAGAGAGAAAGAGAGAGAAAGAGAGAGAGAAAGAGAGAGAAAGAGAGAGAAAGAGAGAGAGAGAGAGAGAAAGAGAGAGAGAAAGAGAAACTTGGAACTCCAAAAATATTCAGACTTGATATCCATCAATTCACTCAATCGTTGGAACTTGCAAAAACTCAAATCCGTTATATGTGCGCAGTACGTACACTAGAGTACACCCTCTAATACCTCACTAGCTGATTACATTACTTACATTACTTTATAAATTAACTTATTGTGCACTGGCTGCTATCAGTTAACACCTCAGTCAATTCAAAATGCAAGCGTGAAAAAGTGCTTGCGGGAAAAGCGCTTAATGAAAAGCAACAAATCATTACGCAACGTTTGGTTCGCTCTACGCATTCTTGAAAAGTTCTTCCATGCACACGTCGTGGAAATGTATATTGTTTTCTGAAAAAGAGTCTTTAAGAAAACCCAGCAGGAGTTGAAATTTTTATTAACAGGATTTCACACTTTTTTTCAAAAACAAAGAATTCAGTTGAAAATCATCCTGCTATCGTGTATATATATGTACGTATTGAAAACCGCAGAACAAGAAAAACAGAAAAAGAAAAAAACTATTGGACTTTTCATTGAACATTGAAAAATGCTTTACTTGTGCTTTTTATTACAAAAAAAAAAAAAAAAAAAAAAAAAAAAAAGAGGTGTTAATGTCCATGTGTCCCGCACTCGTGCTCATTGACTTAAGTATTGAAGTATTGGGTAAATGTTTACAATTGCACAGAGGCCAATAGTAATGATTGAAAAGAAGAGGAAGAAAATGTCATATTGGAAAACTTTTTTCCTTCTTTTTCCTCGCGATTGAGAAACTTGCCAAGAGAACAATAGCAAAACGTTAAGAAAATAGAAGAAGAAGAACTAAATAAAGTGAATGGCAGGCGAGCAGCCAAGCACCCTTTTCAGTTAGCTTTCGATTGAAAAATGTTCAAGCGTAAAAAACGCATTGATTTTAATATCAAGCTGCGCTGAACGCTGCAAGCGTCATCGTCTCAAGAGTCACGGCATGTGGATTTAATATATTCAGGGAGTAAGCAGCAGCAGCAAAGCATTCGTTTATTTTTCGCAATTCACTAAAGCAAAAGGATTGAACTTAGATTAGAGTTAACCATGTTGTTGTTATTGACGATGATGATGACGATCGTGATGATGATGATGATGATGATGATGATTTCTTTACACTTCGTTAAAAAAAAAAACAATTGCTGCTTAAAGCCGTGTTTTGTTTTTTATTTGCCATAAATTAAAAATTCACAGCGCGCTTTAACTACTTATGCTGCAAAATAAGGGTTGAATATAAATAATAATTCTGCTAAAAAGGAATAATGAATGATAGAGAATTTTCTACATCTTGCACTCTATCATCATTAGTGCGCGCACAAGCTTGTGCAACGTCTCTCCGTTCGAACAAAATGAAGTTCGATTTTAGGGCAAAGAACGGCCTGAATGCTTAAAAGGTATTCGATCGGATCACTTATACTATCACTGCCCATATAACGAATAAAAAAATTGCGACCTTTAGAAAGCCCAAAGGGAAAACAAAATGGCAAAAGTTGCAAAAGTAAAATTTTCATGCTGCGCAACATTGAGTAGTCGAGGCCGTTTTCGGAAGTATCCATAGTTTGTTATGCCGAAAGCTTATCCTCTGGGCAGTACCAATATGCGCTGTAAACATATTCAAACGGACAGATAAACTGATACACAGTTAAGCAGACACATAGACGGACAGACTAAAGTGTGTATATGTATGCATTTTAAAGAGCTTGCCAAGCTTTCTTCGCAAACCTACTCTAATGTAAGGGTCCTTATAAAAGGCACGGCTTTCATATGTTTTAAGTTATGCGGACATGTATTATGCGAAAAGTTGTAAAGTATCAAATATTCGGTCTTACCCGACTATCATGTTTTAACTTGTTAGCGCTTCATTAAATTTTTAACGTTGGATTTTGACAGGCAAAGTACTTTATGGTAGGTCGGCCTTCTCCGACTCTAACGTTTCAATTGTTTTCAAACATCCAAACGACTTTTACATTTTACGATTTTTACAAGATATATTAAGCAGACATAATGTGGTTTTTTGATGCCAATAATTATAAATTAGAGTAATATTTTCAAGTGTTGATTTCTACAAGTCCGGGCAGCAAATATTTACCGAAATCTTAGCTTAACTTCCGGCAAATTTTGATAAAAGTTAACTACCGTTGAAAACATCTGCTAATGTTTGCAATCGTCCATCTAATTAATCCATCTTCTTCCAATTATAATCTACTCTAAGGCTTTACGTGTTTTTACACGGCTGCCTTAAAGAATTTAAAAATACATCGCGCTGCTTGTTGCTAACTAAAAGGACCCCTTTTGGCGAATCACTTATGAACTTTTAAGAAATTCAAAAAAAAAAAAAAAAAATTACATTATAAAGAGCAGCATTATAAATATTTTGATTTCCTCTTTGATTATCCTATCTACGGCCCGCCTTTATTACATACTAGTTTTTCGAAGGTTTCTCCTCCATTGAAAGCATACTTATGAGTAGCTGCTCTTAACCATTTTCAAATTCGATTTTCACACTCTACACAAGGAATCAAGGTGATCCAACTTTCTGCTATGAAGATTGCGATAACAGAAGGCATCAAATAACCTTCGCTTTAATACTCGGAGAAAGTTATTACGACAGTATCTTGCAATGACTAGGGCCAGCCATACATATGAATGTATTAACAATAAATTAATATTGAACATATTTTTAGTCATTATAATTTCGACACATTGTAACAATAATTTTATATTGTTGATTGAACTTTTTTATTAAATAAGCAATGTTGCCATTATTGACAACACCGGCACTACCGCACTTAATTTAACTTGAAAAATGCGCCAATAAATTTTCTTGGAATGTTTCGGTCCACGACACAATTATTCAAAAAATCTCTTCTTAATTGGAAGCGCAATGCAATTATTGTTAGTAAAATTTATCTTGTATTTTTTTTTTGTATATCAGACACCCAGTGATTTTTATTGAAATATTTCAAGCGGTTGTTGGCATGGCTTACATTTGTTTTTTATGGTGTTACCAGTTTGAAACACTCTAAAAAGTTCAGCAAAGACACAGACTTTATTTTATGTGTGACTAGGATAAGCAGTTTAAAGCAACCAACAACTTTCACACCATCTACTCGACATAATTCTAATTGACAATTAATTCGAAAGTGTACTAAACAACATAATAAGAAAATTTTTATTGAAAATAATCGAGCGAAATTTAAGCTATGAAGCGATACAATTGCAGCAATTAAGCAACATGGAAATGTTGACAAGTGGAAAACTACAAATTCTAGATCTAAATGCATATTTTATACCAGAATGCAGTAGGAAACAAGTAGTCAGATATAGCTAAACCGACCCCTTACCCTTTATTTTTACATATATTTGCATATAAGCGGTGTTACTTCATAGTATGGAGATATGGAGAATTCAACTGGCACGCTTTCTCTCTATAAATTTTACGAGTGTTTTCCTTTCAAATTCAACTGGCACGCTTTCTCTTTATACATTCTATAGTTGGTCTTCCTTTCGAATTTATGCTCAAGCTTCCAAAGAATATCTCACAACTCCTAAACTCTTAATAACCGCTCACATATTATTGGTCAGTAATAATAATAATTGTCGTCAAATGCCTTTAGCAAAAATTTATACCGAGTTCTACGTTAATATTTAAAAAGTTTGCAGGCTTTTGTTGAGTTTGATTTGTCTGCTAATCTAGTTTTTGACTATCAAATAAGAACAAAGGAGCGTAGTTGTAATTTGGTTCGACAAGCGGACACAACTCAATCGTTGCCGACTCTAATGCTGATCAAATATGATATTGACAGGCGAATTTCTCTGAATCATTTGCACGTGTATTCTGTTTTTATTACTTGTCTGAAGATCTATTTATTGTGTGGGGGCTCTTTATTATCTGATATACGGTTTTGGTATTTTTCCCGTTAGTTTTACTATTTTATTATGATATGACGAAATCATTAACTTTCGTTTCTCATGAATTTTTCCGACACTTCCTATAAACTGAAACAGAACGTATCTTCATTTGAATGAGCCAATTAAAGAGAGTACCGAAGAGCACACATAACCTAAGGAAGTCTTTGAAAATATGTTCGCTTCAAAAACCTACGAGGCAATTTTTTCTTTAGCACTAAAGATCGAGTTTATATTTAACAAACACTTGGCAACTTTCCACTTACCTCTTTCTGCAGCTAATTGTTGCGATAGCGTAAATCTCTTAAGACTTTTACATATCGATTGCTTGTAACCGTTCTCTTCGTTCATATCGAATTTCAGTTTTCCTTCTCGTAAATCGCGACGAACATGCTCAACATTCAAGTACGTATCAGATAAATTCATTGACAGTTTCGTAACTGGAGTTAAATCAATTTCCTTGAGTTCCCGGCGATGAGCTTCGTCAGAATAACAGATACGGTTAGGCCGCAACAGTATAGTCATACGCACAGGCGACTCGAAGGAGCTTTGATTAGAACTAAAATCCATGCTCTTAAAACGTTTCGACTGAATACTATGCCATAATTGCTTGTTACAGCACGCTATATCGTCCCCATCTGTCTCAGCGAGATTATCCTCTGATAAGCGTTTACGTCTTCCTCTGCTGATGCTACTTAAGGGTGTCAACGTAAGAAGAGTTTCCATAACGAGCGAGGAAATACAATTCTTTTTGGAACCAAGGTTAAGATGAATCTATTATTACGGGCGCGCAGGGCGCAAGAAATAGACCTGATACCAAGCGGGATACGTTTTGCCGAAACTAAAACAGTAAACGAAGAACAAAAAACAAAAATTTAAAAACTGAATCGAACTTTGGAAAAGTAAGAAAAAGTTCCTAAAAGCACCCGACTTTTGCAGATCTACTCAAGCCCAACTCATCGTGAATTCATCTGAATTCAGCTGGTAGACGAATACCAGAAGTTCAGAGGTTGTGAATAGATTAGAATAGAATAGAATAGAAGTTCAGAGGTAACGTTTTCAAGTTTTTTCAAGTTTTGTAAAGGAAGCTTAAAATTGTTGAGAAAACAATAATAAATAAAATTCAAAAGACACAAAGTTAATAAAAAAAATATTCAAATAATTTTCGTGCTCATATATGACAAGCAAAAGTAATGTAACTGAGGATTTAGAATATTGAAGAATTGTTTTTCAAGTAAGAATTTTTACATTTTCTTACTTCTCGATCGATGCCCAATTAGCTTTTGGAAATTTCGTCTGGCGGCGTAATTCCTGCTTACGTTAAGACATTTTTTTTTCACACCTAACACACGTACGAATTCTATTCACTTGAAAACATTATACCGACCACGTCACCATTAAAAAAAGCACAAAATTCTACATTAGCAAATGATACGTTTTACACTGTTTAATTAAATCTTTTTCTTAAAATAAAATTTCACTTTTTGTGTTCAACTTTTATTAGAGTGAAAAAATATACAGCTGTTTCAAGCAAAACACGCGCGAAATAAACGGCAAAATGCCGTTATTGACCTGTTACATGGTTCTAATTTGATAAGTAGTAAAAAATATTCCATTTATGAAAACGTTGCCACATTGGCTAAATATATCTATTTTTATTTTCGGCGATGTTAACGTGACGTGACAACTGCGTTCCTCAGTTTCAAAAAAATAATTTAAATTATTTGATTTTATAGCTAATTGCTTTCTTTTTTGGAGTCATGGAACAAAAAAAAAGAAAAAAGAAGAGTAGAAGAACAAGACTCTCACTTTAATAAACGCAGATTGGCCTTGCGCTTTTATTTAAATTTTTGATCCATAAAATTTAGTATTATTGATATAATATTAAGAAAACTGACATTATTTCTATTTGTATCTAATTCTGATTATCTTTGTTCGTTATAGGATTCCATGGATAGATTCTCTTATTATTGTGGTCGAAGAACAACTAAGGCCGCGCATGTCGTTGTAAATATACTAGCATTGAGAGATCTCTTTTAAATAATATGTATATAAATAATAATATAAATACCGAATATAAATGAGAAAGAGGTTTTAGAATGTAAAATTGTTTTTACAAGCGAGATCACATAAAAAGGGCCGACGGCAAATAAAAAAATCTCATATATCATGTCTTTTACGCGCATACAGCTTTTTTAATTTTTTACTGCAGCCCGACTTTAGTAAGAAGTTTTCTACAGCGGTTAGAAGCAAGATTGAAAAGGAGACATTACACGGCAAGTAGTGAGATATGACTAAATCTATTTCTGATCTTTTATGTTTGCATGTATGCGATAGGTATGCGATAATATTTCATCGTAAACAGGCATAAATACCTCTTTGAAGTATGAGTAATAAGAACTTTAAAAATCTAGAAGGCATATGAAATACCCCAAAACGAAACATGGAAGTATCCTTTCTAATCTGATTTAACAAAAAAGAATCAAAGAGCGAAGAATCAATTTCCACAAGGGACAATTACAAAAGTCTGCGATTTTTAAGGACATTAAGTGATCCCACAAACGGAGTTCTCTAAATTGAATCCGGCTCTAATGCTACACAATGAAGCAATTGAAGAGAATTATGGGGTAATCAAGAGCATGTACAACCTAAAGCAATCTTTGACTGCTATAAGCACCCATACAGATGCACACCTATCAGGCAATTTTTTCTTCACTAATAACTCTGAGATTAACTTCTACACTCAATAAAGTTAAAATGTCGTTTCTCTGCTCGATCGTTAATTAACAATTTTCATTTACCTCTTTCAGCAAATCGGACGATCACAAAGATATATTTAAAAAAATTGAAACCACAGCATTTTTTTTTATCCTTCCTCCGACTTTTGTTAGACGTAGAATTTATAAATTGACCGGGTATTTGGTAATAATGATGCTTGGTGTTCAACATTCTTTACATTTTGCGCGACTTCCACTTTCGCAACAGTCGGGGGAGAATCCTTTGCTGTTCATAGCGAATTGTTTGGACTGTGGCTTTCTGGCGTCGCCTTCACGTAGTTATCAAATCAGTTAGTAATGTTGGTCAGCGATAAAAGTTGACCGTCGCCTTGTACATTAGAAGGGTCTAATCCGGGGCTTGAATCTTGACGCGTGAGGAATGTTCTTGTATGCCAATCAATGTCGCGAAATTAGATGCTCTTTGCAGGTTCGGGTGCAAAATTCCATAAGTCGTGTAAAAAGTGCGATCAACATTGCGATGATGATTGGAGTAATTCAAGGCGAGGAGGACGGTTTGTGTGTAGCAATGCTTTGTTTTGGCGTACCGGCCTTAAGTGAACTGCTTTGCCCAAATTATTCCTCGTCATTTTGTCGACGCCTTTTTCTGTTTTGCATTGTTGGAGCTTATTGGGCGAGCTGAGTTGCATGTCTTTTGTTAAAGAGGGCATATTATCGAAATAATGTGTACATTATTAGCGTTCATAAATTGTGGATTTAATTGGAATAGTAGGAGAGCTCCACTTGCGCTTGACAATTACAAAGCAGCAACGCCAACCTACTCAAATCCATCATGTGTAATAAATAGAACAAATATTTACAAAATTTTCTTGCTTCGACAGGTAAACAGCAGTTATATGAGAAAGGGAAAGTTTACATTTGCTTACTATCCGATCGATGCCCAAACAACTTTTAGAAGTTTCTTTTCCTGATACTAGTCGCGTAATTCTCTCTTAAGTTAGGCCATACGAAATTTATACGCTTGAAATTGTACCGACCACGACACTGTTAAAAACGCATGAGATATGTTTACACTTTTCAATTAAATTTTTATTTTTTTTTTCTTAAAACAAAATTTCACTTTTTATACTTGGCTTCTATTGTAAAGAAAATATATGCAGCTGTTTCGTGCAAGAATAAACGCGAAATAATCAACAAATTGCCGTTATTGACCTAATGCACAGTTGTAATTTGATAAATAGTGGAATATTGTCCATCGATGTCATGAAAATGTTGCCAGATCGTCTGAATATAGCATATAAAAATAATTTTATTTTCCGTGATGACAACGTGACGTGATACGCGCATTTTTCAATTTAAACATAATGTATTTGACTATCGATTCAAGGAAAAGAAGAAAAAAAGAAACAGTAGAAGAACTATTTTATTTATTTAACATTATATACATAACATTTAACTAATTTTTAACAGATTGCAATTGAATAAAGAAATACATGTTTCATAAATACTGAAAATCTTTGCTCCGTTTGAGGGAGCCTTACGCGAACTACGTTAGCTGATGTTTGATGTTAGCCCGGCGAAGATGTACAGAACGACTGTCACAATAAGGTTAACGTGGGCTGAAAAGATTTTTTTTTGAAGTTCGTATACATGAGTAAATATTCCTTTTAAGCTATCTGAAAAGCTTTGGGAATCTCGTTGGAAATGGGTGGAAAACTTAATAGAAAAGAAGATAAAAACTCTTGTACTATAAAGGTGACCGATGAGAATATGCATTACTTATATAATCGTAAGTTAATCTGTATTCGGCCGATGTTTAAACAAACCAACCTGCTTCTTGTGTAGTCATTTTCGTCATTCCCGGAATCGGAGTTAGAGTGAAGAGTTACAGCCTCAAATAAATACTTTTTATTAAAATAAATTTCATTCCTAGATCATTGCCAATTTTCACTAGTTTTTGTCAACAAAATTCTTAAAATTTGCAACAGTGTTATTTATGTTGTTAAAATTTGGTGTAAGTAATTTAATAAAGCCTTACTTATGTATATCTCTCGTAATTGATTTTTGGGGATCAAGCAATGTAAAAAATTAAATAAAAATATATAAAAAATCGCTATTAAAGACCAACAAATACAAATAAAAAAAAAACCAAAATATCTACAAAACAATATTTTGCAAAAAAAAAATCGTAACTCGCTCCAGTGTGGTTATTCTCTTTTAACTTTATACCATCACACCAACATCAAAGTTTAAGGTGGTGAAAATTGCTTTGCGTAGTCTAACGGGGATGGGATGTTGCATCGCCACCGGTCGCCTTCGGTTGGCCCGTCTCGCAGCGGGGATATATGCTGCTTTCATAGGTTGGCACCATGTACTTTATATTAATGAAAGCATTTGGTCCTCCACAGTGTTCTAGGGCATTTAAAGTGTCCTCGATAACGTCGCCAATGCGACGATCTCGATCCGGATCGATTCCCTGTCCTAAGTTCACATTAATATTCTTGAACAGATTGCAAGGCGATAATAATTGCCGATAATAGGGTATCAAAGCTTGACCAACGCAGGGACCTAAAGGGATTGTGTTTCATTTATATTGGATGGTAACACTTCATACCCTTTCGTAATCTTTATCTTACCGATCAACACCATTAGCTGAAGCACCTTTAAGGCAGCAATCATGATCTTCTTGTTACGTGTATTAAGGGCACGCTTTAGTGGTAGTACAAGTTTCGGTAAAACGGGCAATATTTTATGTGGCGCTCTACGTATCAAATCCATTGCACCGTATTGAGCCAATTTCCGAATCTCAACATCATTATCGGATAATCTAAATATCGCATGATTATCGGGAAAAAGTCCATTCAGTATTTATATCGAAATTTCAAATATCGACAAAACGCGGAAACAACTCACCCATCAACGAATATTGGTAAATAGTAACAATAATCTAAATCTTGCGGTGTGCAATACCATTTAACTGGATATTCCTTGGAGTTTTTCCTCAGCACCTTACCGGAGCTAGCGACGGGTATATCACCACGACGTAAAAAGATCTTGAAAAAAGTTTCCGCTATCACATGTTTCTTAAATATATCAATTCTGTCCAAATAACGAAATTGATAGGTAATTTATAAAAAGCTCAAGAAAATGAAGAAGAAAAAAAAAGAAATAAATAAATGCATTTACTTCTCCGGCGGTTCTACGACAGTGTTCTTTTGCAAAGCTTGATACGTAAAAGCTGGGACCACCCGAACAGGCTGCAAATTCGAAGTGAAACCGATAGGAAAAAAAGACAGAAAATTTTTGTATGAGAGAAAAGATACCAACCCTTGTCGATCGTACGTAGAGCAATTCGCGGCATTCTTTACCCGTCAATTGTTTAACGTCTGGCGTTATGGTTTCCATAATAAATCACACTGAAATGTTACCGCTTAAGGCCGAAAATAAAAAAAAATCCAAATAAAATATTTATAAACTGAAAAATCAGATTTCAATTGATATCAAATAATAAAAAATCCAATAAAAACTTTTTTTTTTTTTGTAATAGTTTGTGTAATAAAAATGTTCCAGTAGAGGTTTGTAAAAGTAACGGAGTTTTTCTCTTTTTTTTTTTTTGCTTCTGTTTTTAGGCAAGCTTCATTGTTCTCTTCGCATAAAATTTTATTACATAATGCAAGTCCATCTAAGGGTGATGTCGGCGTTATATTGCTGCTTTATCAAGCCAGATATATTTGTTAATGAAATCGCGTCAAATCATCATTATATTTGCGAGTCTAATTGTTCATCTGGCCGCTCGTCCATTTATCCATTTGTCTGTCTGTCGTTTCTATTTGCTTGGCCCATGCATAGGCCGCCGATAGATCACTTGGTCCATTCGCCTATCTGTTCGCGTCTCGTGTCCCCTTATCTCACTATTTCTACTGTTTATCTGTGTGTCTGTCCATTCATTTACCTCTCTGTATTTGCATCGGAATCGATAGGTTTACTTAACAAATTTAACTGAAGGACATAGAAAGTTGTCGATGATAAAGAATTTGCACGTTTCTCTTGTGTTGTTGCTAGGTGGGCAACAAAGAAATCTAAGTGAATTTCATATATGCAAAACTCAAGAGATCAAATGTTTTCGTATTCATTGTATTGTTTTTATTTGACGTAGTTACTAATAAAAGGCTCATTATTTTCTAGATAACTTAGTATAAAAATGTGAAGCCAACATTTGTATTCAGCGATACCTGACGCTCTATGCACATTTTTATATCATCAACAATACACTAAAGATGTTGATGAGTTGATGTTGATAATGCTCCTGTTGATAATTGTGTGTTTTATATACATGTCGAGCTGGTGGCATAATATGTCAGGTACATCAAGTTATTTAATGTGAATATGTCTCTGTCTCTTTCTCTTTGTGTCATCATTAATATTTATGAAACATTATGCATGTGTATGAAGTATGTGATGAAATTCTATGAAAATAAAAAAAAAAAAAAAAAAACAGAAAAATTGTACTGATAATATCTTCTCCTATCTCAAGGTAACAAGTATTTCCAGACAAAATGAATGTTACTCATGACGTATGAGTGATTTTAAATAAATATTAAATTAACTGACATTCGTTACTCAGTCATACGCGAGTTAATGTGTTTAAATGTCGATGAGCTAAGCGAGCTGTGAATTAAAGGTGAGAGAGAGAGAGAGAGAGCGCTGCAGGACATATATATTAATATATGTCGTTTTATATATAATTAAATTGCTTGAGAATCAAGCGAAATAGAAATTTATAGATTCTGCTCTTATGTGGATTTATTAAAGTTATAAAACATATATATATATATATATATATATATTGAATTAAACATTAAATTTTAGATGAAATTCAAGCTACTTTTAGGGTATCACACACACACGCACACACACACGCACTAAGGGATATTTCTTTCTATCTTCCATCTTGGTTAGCTTTTTTTAAAAAAAATTTATTAGAACATGAGTTAAATATGTAAATTTTAACTTTCAAATCAACCTTGAAATATGAAGCATAAGAAGACACACACTCTAAAATATATGCGACTGCAGATAAGCATGTCTATCTATGAAATTTCTACGGTTAGTTACATATAACGACTTTTAGTATTACATTGCGCTTAACATAGTTATAATGATTATTATCATCATTATTGCGATCATGAATAGTAGCATCAGTGCACTGCCATATATATAAGGAAATAGACAGTTGCAAATAATACAACAGACACATTTGGCATAGGGTGGGGTGAGAATAAGCCAAAATCTCACCAGAGTTAACCAACACTTTCCCGACATACTATGAGTCATCGGCCTGCCATGTAACCAACAATTACAACAACTATTCTTCTGACTGTTACTACGATGCAGTTGAATCTAATTTATATATATATATATATGCCTGTGTATGTGTGTGTGTGTGTGTGTGTAACTAAAGACAGTTCAAGCATGAACGGTCGGTTACCACATCTAACAGCTGCAGGCCAATACAAATAAGAAAACTCATCGTTAAGCCAATATCTGTTAAATTGCGTGATTTATAACTATTCAGCTTAAAAAAAAAAAAAGAAAAAAAGACAAGAACAAGAACATACATATAGTGCAACCGATATGCACACACATTCGCAATACTCTCTTAGCCAAACGAACGAAAGGTATAGTTTGTGTGTAGATTCATGCATGCAATATGTAATACCCTGGCAATTGTATGTGTATGTGTAGCTCGGAGTGCTCGATGTGCGTTTAAAATTAGAAATGAAAGAAAGGAAAAAAAAAAAATGCAAAAAAAGCAAGAGGGAAAACTCTTGAAAATGAAATTTGTTCTAACAGCAAATTGTCTGTAAATTCTTTATGGTCATGTTACACATATGTACGACGATGCATGCATGCATACATACGTATACATGCATATATATGCATGCATACAAGTGCGCTTTGTTTTTGCTTGGTGCCGAGTATTATCTCGACTTATAGTTTAAAAACAATAAATGCATGTTCATGTATATGTGTGAGTGTACCTATACCTATCTATAACTATGTATTGCATGCGTTCTGTGATATATGTTATGTGTATGCTCCAACCAAAATATGTTTTAACAAGACTTTAAAAACTTGACTGCGTTCATTTGTTGCTATTATTAACTAATTGTAATATACCCGCACACACACTTGCATATCGTATTATCTTAAGCAAACAATGAAAATGAAAAGAATTTTTAAGCCGAAGGATTAACAGTAGCTTTTGTTATGTTTTAATACATTTTATTTTCATTACATACATACACCTTATGTAAATCATTTGTACTAATATTCATAAGATTATGTCTGTGAAGAGCTTCTGTTATGGAAAACATTTCGTGTCGGTAAAATTATGCGTGTAGCGCAAACAAGTCAAACAAGAGTGCTCCTGTTCACTATTTCGAAGCTATCCTAGATAAGGCTTGATCCCAACGAATTGTCAATACACGTTTGATTTCTCACACACCGATAATTCAATTCAATCTACTCTAATGACTCTGTGATAAATATTTATCCAAACTTGCAATACAATATCTATAGTATAGTAGTTTCATAACCTAATCGCATGAGACCGCTGCCGGGTAAATCGGATATGGGTCATGTATGCTTTTTAGACTACATATTTTCAATGATTGGGAAACGTATTATTTTGATGGCCTAACCTTAAGGCATGTCTGCATGTAACACATGCAGAGGCAAGTGGTGCCAGTGTTGAGGTTATTATAATAACTATGAATCCATCCGAAACTCTACGATGAGCCGTGATGTCAGGCGATCAAAATCAAAATGCGGAACGATCATAACGTAGCAATTCAGGCCAAGGCCTTTGTCTCCATCAAGGCAAGAGACTTTGCGAACGCAAATGCTTGCTGCTTTAACTGAATATTCATAAGCCTGTTGGCAATTAAATCAAGTCCTTACTTCATCTACGCATATGTTGTTCGTATCAGATATTTAATCGATGCCGTTACATTTTATAGAAATGTGGCGGTGTAAGCGAAAGGTAATAGTTTGTTTTTGTCGATTTCTGGGGGAGTTTGACATAAAAGATTTTGGCGACACCGAAAAAGAGTACATTTCTGAGACTCGGAAACAAAATAACTTCTACATAAAATGGTGTACGATTTTTGTATTATTTTTAGATTATACTCACACAAACTTGACACTTGTTTGTCATTAATAAAAATGTTTCAAATATCCGGATATTGATGCTACTCTGCTGCTATTTTCTATTCATAGACGATATTGCTTTTTTCCTCGCAATCATTTTAAGACGAATGCAAAATTTTTGTCTTGTTTTTTACTATTCTTAATAATTTTCCCTGGTCCCATAACATAGTTCTTCTTATGGTTAACAAGCAAGTGAGTGAGGAAACCGGCACATTTTATCAGCGCTAGCGTGCAATCTATAAAGTTTGTGTTCACTTTTAAATGAAGCCTTTCGGTAGAGTAAATCAATTTACATTTTTCACGCAATAATGCCATTGTTTCACGACATCATTCTGCTGAAAATAAGTTTCCTTTATACCCAATAGCATCAATTTCAAGCCAAACAAAAAAAAAAACACGAAAGTCAACAGTCAACCATTCACGATAACGTTTAATATAGATTTACGCGCACCAGATGCGGCAGGTACGTACGGAACTAAGCCCCCTTGTCTTTTGCTCAAAATACTGTGACCACTGCTACTTTCATTGTCTCAATTGCTTCATACAAACTTGATCCGTAACTGGAAATCTCTTAGTTGTCAATTGTGAAATATCATGACAATCGTGATAGTAAGTTTTTGATTCAACAATAGCCAACAATATAAGATTGCAGGACTTATTGAAAGACCCTGTATGCAGGTACGACATGTCAGATAAGAGAGAAAAATGCTTTGATGTTTATGTCATTGGAATACATGCCATGGATCGCAATTAAATTTTTCATCCTTTTCGACTATGTGTGTCCATCTGTCCTTCGTATTATGCATTTTTGAATTAAGAAGCAAACTAAGCATACTCCGGGTTGGACCCCTAAAGAAAAGAATAGAAAATTAAGCTGAATTTGTTCAGCAATGCACTCACTATGCTTTAGAAATGGAGTAACCTTGAAAAAAGTCAAGTTTAAAATACGTGGTTTTGTCATTGTTTAAGTCCGAAAGAACAAAATAAAGTTTCGCAAGAACTTTTCGTAAACCATTTTATCATTGCTAGGAAAACTATAAAGTTTTTCCATATATTTTTGCTACAAACGTGGTATCGGAAGGACGGGAGAGGGCCAATCAATTAAAACTTTAGCCAAGGCAAAAACAACTTTTTTTTTATATATTTTTATGTCGTACGTTACTGGTACTGCAAAGTATGCTAAGTTTGGGTGAACGTGCGTTTAACATTTAAATGGACTTAAGACAGACACAGTTCTCATTAGGCCGAGCAATTCGGAATTATTTTCCAAATGAGCTTAAACTACACCTCTAAATGATAGCCTTTAACATACTAAATTGATGTGAAAACTAAGGATCGGAGGGTTCAATTTATTTAATGCTCTTGCATATGATATATGTTATGTCGAAGCCGGATCTAACATGTTGTCTGTTTTATGATGAAAAGCGATACAAGGTAGAGTGTAAATCCACTGCACAAAGTTTGGCATACGTAAGTTCATTTTTTTTGTTCCCTATCACATAAGTGCTCGACTTCTCCCACATAAGGACTTCCATGCAGAGTATGTCTTTGCAAGGTATAGCCTTTGGCGTTTTATCTCGAAAATAAGTGAAAAACTACGCTTGGTAGAGCGCATCTAATAGCGACCTTGCTTAACTATAATATTTTTACTTGTTTTTCAATTAATCTTAAGTTTATTCTTTTTTTTTTTATGTTTTCTTATTACTTATAATTAATGCAAGGTAAAAATTTAAAACAAAACAAAAAAAATAATTAACACTAAGAACAGCATTGTTTACTTACACCTTTTTCACAAAAAAAAAAAAAAAAAAAAAAGTTTTAATAATTTAATTAACCTTTTTAAAAAAAAAAAAAAAAAAAAAAAAAGTTTCAGAAATTACTTACTCTGGTTACAAAAAAATGAACATAAGAAAAGACGTAAGAAAAGTTTAAATAAAAATATATCTGCGTGTTTGTGTTTCAAGTTTGAAGTTCGAAGAAAAACTGACTTTAATTTACACGCGCGTCCTATAAAAAATGTTCGCAAGTAAGTAATGATGCAAAAAAATTTCACTTCACTGATGCACTTTTGACATTAAGTAAGTAAGAAAGAAAAAATAAAGTGAAACAAAAACTGAAGAATTTTTACCTGTGTGTGTGTGTGTGTGTGTGTGTGTGTTTTAATATATAGGCGAACATATTCGTATATCCTTGATATGGGAACAAAACATAAAGCTAAAGGTGTGAGATTGCTCGAGTGTTGTCATAGCAATATCCAGCAAACAATCAAACAACCACACGCACAGTTACTCACACCCAAGGCGAGCAGACTCAAGGAAATCACTTTACTTATTATATTCATTTTAATAGCACTCAGTACAGGGCTCAAGGTTGCGTATATGTATGTATGTGTGCGCATGTGTTCAACTAATTGCCTGTAGGTTTCATTGTAAATTACATGCGTCTAAAGAATTTTCCACATGACAATGTCAAGTTCTTCCGTTTGTTTGTCTCGAAAACACATCGCCAGATAATGACCGATAAATACGGAGATTGAAGTAAACCTTAGCACAATCTTGAGAATTCTAAGAAAGTAACGCTCAGTGGAAAGTGAACACTAGTTTCATCCAACGTTGAAAGAAACCATTGCCGATTTTTCGGTGGAGGGCGGAAAAACCGCAAGTAATTTTATCGGTAGCAAACGGGTTTATTTTTGGATAGGTGGCCCTCGGTAATATTTGTCAAAATTTTACATAACATTGTTTTTAGTGCTAGAGGCAGCCAAAGCTTTATTTCAGATGTAAAAATTCTAGCTTCTGCAAATAAATTGCGTGGACGAAAGTCAAGACTCGGCTTGATCTTGCAGAGTCGTTCTTTTTGTTCTAATAAAGAAAGTGGCCATCACTTTTTATTACACCTAATAGCTTATGTAAGAAACCTTGAACCAAATAATCAAGTGCAATTTTATTTAAGGCTCAATACATTTTGGACTGCTCTTCGTAGAGTGGGAACCAGCTGGTACTTATCATCATCTTTGTTGATCGTGATTGATCAATCAGATGAAGGGATTCGAAAGCAGAGATTAAGTGCAAAAAATTTCTAAGTCTCTTATGTGTGATGGCTCTTAATAATAGTACACTCACTGTGAGTAATCTCTACCGAACAGTGATACTGTACTGTTATTCGATAGGCAATAGCTTAAAGCAAATACTGGAAAACCTATTCTAGAATGGTGCAATCACCATTACATGACTTTGCGCTCATTTCTACATCCGTCCATATGCTATCCGTATTCACGAGATCTTTAAAATAAAGCGAAAAAGATTGTAAGTCATCAATGCACGCTGCTCTAAAGAGAAACTTTTTTGTATTTGTATATACGATGCCAGTAGACATTGGTTTAAAAATTCGTCAACTTATTGATTAGGATCGCTAGGAAGCTCTGCATAAAAATTGCTATGAATGGCTTACATACACCGTTAGGATGCACAATAATTGAGCCCTTAAAGGCTTTCACTTATTATATCGTTATGTTCTTTTCGTTTAACAAACATTGTCATCTGATAAGCAGCGAACTAAGCAGCAACAAGACTACCACGTTATCTAAATATGTATATGTCACGTGTGTGTTCATGTTTGATTTAACAGCATTACGGATTTATATGCGTAATATTTTGTGGTAGAATTCAGACTAATATTTCCAATATATATATATGTGTGCGTATGTGTGTGTGGGTGTCTGAATATGAGCGTTTTATGCGTTGTATGCCAATCAAAGCCGGATATCAATGGGAAATTTTAATGTTGACTGCATTTCCGGTCTGATACAAGTGTTCAAATATCTGCTTGTGCGGCTGCATAACACATACACCCACGTCATTGACATAATAACGCATAGACAGGTATGTGCGTACGTGTCTACACGCGGTTTGCTGTATATGAGCATAACGTCTAATTTGAAAAGGAAATTATATTGTCGCGTTAAAAAGAGAAGTTGTCTAGGATATGTACATACACACACGCACACACACATAAATGCGCATCGTAATTTTCACTTATGCACATATGCATGTATTGATATGTATTAGAGCAAATATTCGATCATTACAGCGCGTTCATCGGGTAAAAGCAAAGAATTCAAACTGAACATCGCAAACATGCAAGCAAGAAATTCTTGATGCCCTGATGTTAATAACCACACTCACAACGTCATCATCATTGTCATCATTTGTAGTGTGCACGACGTAGGAGTAATATTTTAATTTAGACGTAAATCAAGAAATATTTATACAATAAATGAAAGGAATATAAAATTGAAGGTACGTTGGCATGACTTTTTTTTTCAATTTTCAAAAGTCTCTTGAAAACAATTTTTTTTTTTTTTTCTTCATAACTTTCTTTTTTTTCTTCTTGTTCTTCGATGTTTACGCAATTAAAAGCAAACAAAAAAAATCATGATTTTTTTTAGTTTAAGTAAATATCGTTGGGAATAAAGCTACAAAATGTGGGTACACAGTAGATTTATGTTGTATTCACGAGGCAGGATATTGGATCGTATGTAATTTTAAAATTTCTTTTAATACAATTTGTTGAGCTTTATTTAATTCTGTCAACTATAAATTTTTATTAATGTTGTTTGAGTTGTTGCCGTTTTGTATGGCATAGAAAATACTCCCTTCTTTTCTCTCTCTCTATTTCTTCTCTGTTAGTCATATTCCATTATAGTTTTATATTTATGCCCGTCAAGCAGTAGTCAACCAGAGATGTTATCATCGCGTTAAAGCACCTGCAATATCCATAAGGAAAATTCTTCTGACTCGTTTTTAGCATGTATGTCTGTCCGTCCATTGTCTTTGCCGCTGCTTCAAATTTGATGAAAACATTCGAAAGTATCTTGCGGGTATTGATCACAAGACACGCCCGCAACCCGCCACCCTAACACCGAAAGCAGAGCTATGTCTTCAAAAGCAAAGAAATTGGGTTTTCTACTCATTACTGATAAATTACAACGGCAACCGTAAGCAAACCTATATTCCACGTATAATCTATGAATTATCCCAAAAACACATGGTCGAAAACACATCCACCCAGTAATGAACAGCATCGAAAATCGAAGACAAAGATGGTGTGGTTGCAAGCGTCGGCCACTGTCAAATACAATTTTTTTACTTGTGGTTTTTTTTTTTTCGTTTTTTCTTACTTTTTACTCGCTTCTAAAATGGACATTAGTTAAGAGGAGAAATATAAAGATATAAAAAAAAAAAAAGAAAAAAAGAAAACTTGTTCGTTAAAACATTTAGTGCTAGTTCTCGTATTTCATTTTAGGTATCCGGCACCATATGCGACCCACTTCAACTTCACTTTGCTTGTTTATATATGCATTTGGACGCATAACGTAATATACCACAACAAAGTATAGAAAGTATAGTGAGCAGTATAATCAACTTTAACAAGTGTATATCAAGTTTCAAGAAAAATAACGCACAAAATTCTGAGTATAAATGGAAACTAAAAAAAATAGAATTATAATCGGCGTAGATCGAATTTGTTTATTACTGATTATTACGCTACTGTTCATATGCGACTTCATCTTACAAATTCCATTTTAGGCAATAAAGTTCCGATGACACAATTGAACACATTTTATAAAGGATTTCCTGGGCAATCTTTGAATTCGATTTTTGTGGTTTCCTTTCATTACATTAATCGATTTATATAGCTTTCCACTAAAGGTTACGTTGCACTTTGACCGAAGGAAGAATAACACAAACAGTCGCTTGGTGAAAGCTGGTAACAAAGTTTACCGGAAACTGCATGGGTAAGCAGACATTCCTTTCAAGATAATTGTTAGGGTTTCCTAATGCTCCTTTAAGTAGGCTGCCACTTGGCAGTTATTTGTTTCCTTTCAACTAAATTTCAATTGAAACAATGAATTTTCTTTCTGACTTCCTTAACACTGTTTTCGTTCGGGGAACTAGCTTAGTTGATGGAATTGTTTACCAAGGCAATCATAACAAGACAATAAGGCCAAAAGAACTCTGCAGGGCAATGCGCTCTATCCCGAAGTCAATCCTGATTCATTTCCATAGGTTCGCGAATGAGAAAATTATATAAAAAAAAACGATGAATGTCGCGTCTAGAAAAGCCTTGATCAGTAGATTAATATGTTGACGTTTATCTATAGGCGAACACTGCAAGATCGTCATCAAGCTTTTAAAACGCGCAGGGAAGTATATGCGACTAATGTGTGCCACGAGAATTACCAGCAGCTGATGCAGTCCCCGGCCAATAGCTTTTGTTTCTCATTGGCATATATATATATATATATATGTATATATGTACATGCTAAAAATTGAAAATTTTTGTATATGCTTTTGAAAGCATTCTGCGAAACAAATACAAAACAAACTTGTACAACTTCAAGGAAGTCGAAGTCTTCTCTGGGAGTTTTACAATTTCAGGTTTCCACTCAAACTTGTAATTACCGTAATTGCTGAATATTTGTTTGTATTTCTTTGCAATGTTGTTTGCGCACGAGATTCTGTTTGCAATTAAATAAAATTATTAGTTCGATTAATGTTAGGTTTTTGCATTCATACCAGGTATTTGGCCTGTCCTTAAATTTATTGAAAATAAAATAACATTTATTTCATCATTTTTTTTTTTCAAGTATTTAAATAAAGAATTCTTCCAGTTAAATAAATTAAAAAAAAAAAGAAGCCTTTAGTTAGTTATATTTCGTCAAATGCAACTGTTCTCTTCTATTTCTTTTGTTTTTAATCTGCATTATTAGGGTTCGGTGGACAAGGAGTTGTGAATTAAATAAATCATATCTAGAGCACATGCAGATTAGAAAACGATACGATTCTCTCCGTATGTTGTGTTGGCTTGTGGTAAAATAAATGAAATAAATGAAGTTTTCCATAACAAACACTGCTACAAGTGTGCATTAATCAAGGAGCGATCAAGGAGTATATGTAAATGCGTTTATGGGCATAAA